CCATTTGTTGATCCAAAGTCATTTTAGGTGTTTGGGTTAGAGATATGGTTTGCGATGTCGACTCCCGATTCATTTTTGCATTCGGTTGTGGTCATCCGCTATTCTAATCAAAGTTCAAAGAGTAATGTGTTAATATTACAAAACGATTGCCGCAGCAATATGTAAAGAGAAAAATTTACCTTTTATCACATTCCCTGCAAGTAAAAGTATGATCTCTTTTATTTCGGTTTTATCACTTTCTCAGAGGTTTGACTTGCTGCCTTGCCTGTAGGATTTCGCTCAATCAATGCATCCACAGCTGCTAATCTTTATTACTTTTTGCTTATTTTGTAAAAGTCTCTTTTTAATTGCCACAACTGCAGTTTTTATTAGTACTAAATAGGCGTCTCCTGTTATTGAAAGGAGTCGTAGCAAGAGCGTTGCATTTTAAAAACACAGGAAATTAGAGTTGCCGGGGAAAGGATGCTTGTTTCGGCTCCGTTCGTGTGAAAGCCATACCGATACTGTAACCTTCGTTTCCTTTTAATGAACATTATGAAACGACTGTATTAGCACGTTAACTTGCCTTGATCTTTTTTTTTTTCTTCCCGGTGTTTCGATTGAACAGGTGGGAATAATAGTAAAAACAGTGTAAGGCGCAGTAGTGCAAGTGGATGATTCGGAAAAAGGATCAGTTAATAAATGACACACACACACACACGCACGCACGCACGCACATACGCACACACACACGCACACACACGCACACGCACACACGCACACACACACGCACACACGCACACACTCGCACACGCACACACACGCACACGCACACGCACACACGCACTCGCACACACGCACACACACACGCGCACACACGCACACGCACACACGCAAACACGCACACGCACAAACGCACACACGCACACGCACACACACACACGCAAACACACACACACACACACACACACAGAAGTTCCTAGCGCGATTTGAACCCGGAACTTTCACGCCGCGTCGTCAAGTACCGGCGCTCACCGGCGCTGGCGGAGGTATATGAATATACTGCCACCGCTTTTATCTCGCGTAGTTTTTCCTTTATTTTGGCTCATATTTACCCCCCTCCCCCCCTGGCCGTAACTTTACCTGCCGCTTCTATAGTATAAAGGGGTGGCCAATTCCACTCCAGTTAAAAGTCCCTGCAGTCAGTTTCTGCGAGTGAAGTTATGTGCTTGAAGCGATACAGATTTCTCCGCCATTAGGCGGGGACGCTAGATACTTCCTTGTCCCCATGGAGCTGGTCACGTGACAGAAAAATCCCTGTTGGCCGCAGCGGCGGCCGCGTCCGCAAGATGAGCAAACCGGCCCTGGGGTCCTATGCTACACAGCATAACCAAGCGGAACCAAGGAATTGGGACAATGCTTTCTGCTGAATAGGTCAGTGCCGCGCCACTGACAAATCGCAGCAGATGGCGTTGTCCTAGTTCCTCGCTCACACTTGGTCACGTTGTGTAGCATAGAGCGCCTGGTCTAGAGACTTGAGTGTGATGCAATGCCCTAACGGTTTATGCTGTTTACATGAACGCACTGAATGCGATAATTGGAGTCGATGGATTTAGTGTTCTAATGAGAGTACCCGTTATGGGGGGGGGGGGCCCTTGTACAAATGGACCAACACGCTGCTCTGACGTCACGCTCCTGCGGTGGCGCTATTGTTGCCACGGCGCATGCGCAGAAGCTTCACCTCATGCGAATCTGGTTTCTGTGCTTGCGCAGTGCCCACACCTGGTGTGGGCAAATGCGGGCTTGTTTGTAAACAGCGTGTCGGTCTATAGCTAGTTGTACAGTCGGGAACAAAAGTTTCTGTACCACAGGAGCGTTGGCCGATATGCATCATTGCGCCCTCTGCTGTCGAGCCGGTGCTTGGCGGATGTGCATCCTTCCATACTCGCAGGGATGCCGATTCTTTAGTTTCTGGGCAGCCACGCTGCGATTCTCAATAACTTGCCGTGTGGCGCCGCTTCGAAAGCATCCGTAGTTAGCTGCGCCAAAGATTGGCGCTAAGTAGCGCTGGCCTGGCTGGCAGCGTCTCTGAATCAGCGGGACAGGAGGATTAGCCGATCTAATATGCCGCCAACTCAGGTCAAACATGGAGTCTCCCACTTTTCTTTTATGCTGCTTTTACACTGGCGTTCAAATCGCAAGTGCAAACCAGGTTCGCTCGTTTTCGTCATCAAATCTACGTGAACTGCCTCGCAAATGATGATGACGATGATGATGATTGGGGTTTTATGGCATAAGAGCAACTTAGGCCACATTGCGCCAAACAAAGGTTTTTCCAAGGGGCTTAGAGGTGTAAACTGCCTCGCAAATATGGTTCAAGCTCCAATGTGAATGAGGCATTACTGCCACCCATATTGCTCCGGCCGTGCTACCGGCCTTTCATGCTCAAGAATGCCTTTCAATAACCGGCAAACCATTTTGTGTTTATTCAGCATAATACCCAACTCTTCCTCTTTTTTTTCAAAGGTCAAAGTAAACGATTATTCCACGTCAGAAAGCCTGAATGACTCGGCTCCTGGTATTTTACAATATTCAGCAATATTCTCAGTGTGACCTGCCTTTAATGTGTACGAGTCTTCTAGTTTCAAGTGCACTTGACGGTAACATTGTCGTAAGGGCCAAAAGTCTTGTATGATAATTGGTCATCATATTGTTCGTTATCAGGTAAACAAAGTTACCACAAAAAGCGGCTTGCGCCACCGCCTCCGAGATCGGCGACTACTTCTTTCTTGCTGCAGGCGCAGCCAGCCAGGAGTGCCGGCATGGCTTCATAGCATGGATCCCGTGCGCAGCTTGGCGCGGATATTTCTGAAGCGGCAATGCGGGGCACATTTTAGAGAATCGCACCGCGGCTGCCGAAAACGAAAGAATCCGCATCCCTGCAAGTACGAAAGGACACGCCTGCACCAAGTGCCAGTCTCGACGTGCCATCAGAGGGCGTAGCAGGGCATATAGGCCACCGCTCCTGTGGTCCGGAAAATGCTGTCCCCGAGTGTGCATTTATATCCCGTTATATTCCAATCCCGTCAGCCCATTGTCTCGAATGCAAGGCTTGCATTCGAGACAATGGGCTGACGGGATTGGAATATAAGGGGATATAAATGGCGAGTTCAGCCCGATTTCAAATTATTATACTTGATTTTTGCATAAAGAGGAAGTACGGGAAAGGAGGAACACAGCACAGCCTAGTTAATGAACATCTTACATCTCAAACCAATACTCATGCTGTGACGGACAACATTGACAAGGGCTCTGAAATCTGATCATCGGGTCTTTCAAAGGTGGTTCGAAAGCAGGATACACGAATTGAAACCATCAGCATACTTAAATAAGTATTGAGTAAATCCATGCTCGTTTACCACCTCCGGGCAGTCACGGGCTGTAAGGGCAGATGGGGAAGACCCTGACTGTACCTTGACACAGCTGGCCACATCAAGAGTATCAAGTTGCTGTAAGAGAAGCAAAACGTGTGCACCTTAACACATGTCAAGCTAAATAATAAGGTATTTTAGAATAATGTATGCAATTTTAGCCCATGCTAGCACTAAATTTGGCGCTTCTTAGCGCACGCTGTGCCAGAGTGTTTTAGAATAGCGTTTCTCCACCGCAACGAAAAAGCCTAAGCACCGCGTGCTTGCAACGCCACAAAGGTACAGCAACACTATTTATTTTGCACACGAAATCCTGTAACCTGAAAAAAAAAAACAAGTTTCTTGGTTCAGAGGAACATTTTAAATTCGTTTAAATATGAGAATGCAACAGAAGCGGTCGACAGGTAATGTCCATTCGCGTCGCCTAGGCAAGAAAGGTCTCGTGTACTGACCTTCGCACACTGTATACCTTCACTGAGAAACATTCGTGTGTCGCAAGCAGCAAGCTGTCGGCGATCGTTGCCCACCTTGCTGGGTCCTCTTAAACGTTTCTGACGTGCACCTCCTATAGGAACGCAATGTCGCCCTGCGTTGTACATCGCAGTTGAGATGATCTGGTGAGGGTCTAGGACAACTAGTCGAAAGCTAACTCGTCGACGGTCAACTCATCGGCAGTTCATTCACCCAATAGGCTGATTTTTCATAGGGCAATTCGTCGCAGGAAAACTTGTCGCACAGGCTAACTGGACGCTGCTTTTTAGAAGCCAAAAATATATATTTTTTCCCTGACATTTTAAAGCAAATACTGCGCTATAGTAATCACTAAAATCCCGCAAGGTAATTGACCCCCAGAGTGGCCTTTTTGTCGAAAATAACAACTTGCCACTTTCGCCATTTTCGCAATCCAGCGCGCACTTTTTTTTTTGTTGTTGTTGGAGGGGGGGGGGGGGGGGGGGGAATTGTGGCGGAGGTGGCTGGGATGCTCATGACCAGAGGAAAGAGGGCTGTGGCCCCATTAGACTCCTCTTTCGCTACGCCACTGCAGTGAAGGACGGTCACTACGTTGCACATGTATCTTTGGGGCGCGTGTTAACCTACCCGGCCCACCCGTTCAAGCCGCTTCGCGGCGACAATCTACGACGACTTGTTAAAAAAAGTAGGAAAGAAAATTAACAGAAGGACAATCCCGAGATGACACATTTTTCAACTTGTCTCAAGGTTCTTTCCTGTCTTCGCTATCTTGTGATATATTTTATCACAAGAGGGCGAACCGAAAACCCTCTTGTGATATTTTATCACAAGAGTTTTTTTTTTTTTTATACGATTACATCCTAAAATACCACGTGGGAAGATAAAATGACCACGACGTTTCACCTCGCTCCTTGCCAATTCGTCCAATGCACTTTGTTTTGTTTTTTTACTCTTCCGATACTCCGAGTTTCGCTATTCTTTGGGATTCTTATATTGGTTTGCCATGATCGGTTGCCCTCGTGTTCTGTAGGAGAGTGAACTCTGGGATCTTCTGTACAGTGGACTATCTGATTCCCATAAATTCCAACACTTACATCACACTGAGTGAAATTGTTTTACATGGCAGGTTACTTCCAGATTATGGTACATAAATTAGTTGTTTTTTTATATACTATAAAAAAAATTTCTACCCCCCCTCCCCGAAAAAAAAAAAGTTGTATTTTTTTAGTGGCGTCTGTGGACAGTGCTTTTTTAATTCTTGACGGCAACTTACCGTTTTGTAGGAATACGTAAGCAGTTGGGAGGTTCCGACTGGGAGGAAGACCCGGGGCAAGTATCCGGAAAGCTGCAGAAAGCGATCACACGGAGATGTCAAGCGCGCCATGGACATGTGCAACGCGCTCAAGGAAGCACACCTATGTGCTACGATAGGACATCAAACGTAAAAGAGCCTCTACCGTGCCCTGTAGAAGTAGCGGATGTTGAAGTTGATAAGACACAATTCATTTTTGCTTATGACTTGGACACAATTGGATTTCAGCATTTAATTAAAAGTGCGGAGATTCGTGACGATTCTTGAATAAATATATAAAATAGATAAAATCGCAAATTGAACAGAGGGAGGAATAGCATGTACGGGTTGTAAACGTTTTTTTCCTTAGTTTGTTTCTAGTCTGCACTTGTTGAATTCGTTCCTGATGTAATACATTTCCTAGGCTAGAATGAAATTCGGCATACCACACGGGCAAACCACATGTCCAGCTTTTTTTGGATATAAAGCCGCATCTGTCCGACATGGGCAGGTTGACAGAGATTTCTCTGTTCCTCAACTGGAATCACGGCAAACGTGTCCACCATCTCATCAAGACCTTTTGTTTCTCTGCATCTGGTCTGATTTACATTTAAAAGATCCTCTCACAATTTATATCAGTTCCCAAGTTCATGGTTGGGAGGTAGATTAAGACATTTGTTTTTTCTGCAGCTGAAATCTAGGCTACATTCAAAATATACCCCGAGCAATTTATATCAGTTCCCGAGTTTATGATTGCGAGGCAGATTCAATTTGCTCGTACGAAACTTAAAAGCCCGCAATAAAGTGTAAAGTGTTCATTAATATCTAAGGATCAGCGCAAAGGAAGTCGTACAGTTGTGCTGGCCCAAAATATAATGCGGCTTATTGTGTTAACCACGATCGTCGTGCCTTTGGAATGTTGATATTTCGTTCCACGAACGTCCAACAGAGAACCATATAGAGATCCTAGATTTCCAACTGCACGACCGGGGTCACGTGGTTAATGGGCCGCGTTTGCAATACCAGCTGCGAGGAGGTGTCGAACACGTTGATCGTCTGCAAATGCCTCTTCCTTTCCGCCTGCTTTCCTTCTCTCCAAATCAAAACGCAGCTCATTCGCACTTCTGAGGCGTCTGCCATTCAATTGCAAACGCTCTCCACGTTTGAGATGAACCCTCTCTTCAATCTACGCTCTGTAAGTACACACAACTCCAGGTTGTATACTGCTTCCTTCAGGTGGCGGATAAGATAGTGTTCTTGGAAACAACATAAAGTTACGAGTCGGGTGGTAAACTCAAGTGATTCATTGGATACAAGACATGAGGCTGCAGCAATCGTAATGAGAAATGCATTGCTCCCAAAAAAAGAAAGAAATGAACTGAGATCAGTCATGGTTTTTCCTCAGGTTTCAGGGGCCGTCACTTCCACGTGTGCTACAAGCATGTCAAGAACCTGCAGGCTGTTGTCGACGGGTGTATGGACCACATGTGCTCGTGCCACCGGAACAGCCTTTGCTACTGCGATGCTTTTGCATCTTTCAAGCTGGCCTGCGAGAGGCATAACGTCACCTTTAATAAGATGGCCGGAGGGGAGTGCGGTGAGTAGGAAGCTATAAGTAGTTTGTTTTATGCATTAAGTTTTTTTTTTTTTTAATGTTTTTAGATATAATAACAAGATTCGCTATTCTACATTATTTTGTTTGAAACGAACGAAACTGACACCGGAATGTTCTGATTTTCGCAGCCAAACGCGTTCTGTTCCGAAAGAAAAAAAACCTCTAGAGAAGCAGCAAACGTCCTTAAACAACTCAAATGTAAAATTGCAAAACAATTACAATTTCTGTATAAAACTTTCTTGTTAATCTTTTAAACATTTGAAAAGTGGAAGAAGCGATTGGAGAGATTTAGAACAGGCCGCACTGATAATTCAGGTAAGGCCAGCTGAACCAAAATAAACATACACACAAAGACCATAAATACCGCTCGACTAACAACTGACTTTTCTTTTTCCTCTTCTTCTATTAGATTTCCTCTTTTCTAGTTTATTCTAGTTCAGCTGGCCTTATCTGAAGTACGAACCAACCAGGTCAACCTAAGACTATTAAACACTGATAAATTACCCCTTGATATCTAATCCCTATTCCACAAAACTTGCGAAGCTAGGTGACACAAAAAAGAAACCTACTTTTTTCAAGCGTGTTGTCTGCGGATTGAGGAGACGCGGTAAAACAGCTTGGCATCAAGCAAAAATTCTACTGCGTTTCTATATTTTGTTTCTTGAAGAACGTCAGTGTCCCCAGGGAATGACATTTGACGCCTGTGGCCCGGCGCGTGTAAAGAGGTGTCATCCATACTCCTTCGAAGTCATGGACACATGCATGCCCGGCTGCTACTGTCCGTCTGAGAAACTGTGGGAAAACGGAAAATGCGTCGAAAAGAAGAAGTACTGTGCCGCGTACGAAACGTTTCTGAGGGCAATGGGGTCATCAAAAAAAGTGTAGTGTCGGCCTTCAGAATCGTTCATCACATCACACGACCACGTCACTCATTCTTCATTGATCACTGTTCGAGGTTTCATAAATGGACCTGAAAACAAAAATAGTGAACTGAAAATTAAAGCGTGATTGCACCAGACTTGTGCCTATCTTAAATAATATACTGAAGATACTATAGTTCAAATACTTTTTGTATTATTTTGGCATCGGGCAAATACATTTATTCTAGAGTATTTGCTACTCTATCTTAATTAAATTTCTCACTATCTTGTACTCAGTATCTCAAATACATTTTGCAACCTTGAAAAAAAAAAAAAAAACTCGCTCTAACCATTTAGGGAACTAGGGATCGTCTGTCTCCAGGGTAAAGCTTAACCAATTGCAAACTAAGAGCCAAGCGATTGAACCCCCCCCCCCAAAAAAAAAAGACACGAGAGAAATTCTGTCTCTAAATGACAGCAAAAAACCAAATGTATCACCCCAAGTACGCCAGCCTCTTTGCGTCCTCTTGCACTCTAGTTCACTTTTTTAAAGTTGTTTTTCAAGGCTACGACACGTTTGGAATTAGCAAAGCGTTTGTAACGTAATCAGGATTTTACACTCAGACCCCACATTTTCTCTGGAGCTAGAATAATTTTATCAGCGGAAGATTGTTACGCCAACTGGCTGTAGGATTACAATAAACCATTTTCGAATATCGCCGGCTCAGGGGGTAGCAGTATAAAAATGCGTGAACACGTTTTCATGCGAGAGCAGCCACACCCTCGTCCAAAGAAGTTAGATCAGTCTCGCTGTATAGAGCTGCGGTGACCTATAGATTGGGCTTCCCCAAATCTCCCCATGTGCCTATTGTGGCTTTACGTTTTCTCCGTAGCGAGTTCAAAAGTGTTTCTTCCATCTCCTTCCGAGAGAGCGCATGGTTTCATCTTCCGAATCATCGGAACCAGTTGTGCCCCAGGTGGAGTAATTTATGAACTAGTGCCGCAACTAAGGCGCTTCATGAAGGTCATCACGACCACAGCAAAATGTGTTTTTCAGAAAAGTGATCACAAATAGAGCACCCCCTCGTGACTTTTAATATTACATCACCGGCTTGGAAATCTTGCCAAGTATCTTCAAATGTAATTCAATTACTCTTTCAAAGCATTTACACTCTTCTCAAGATAGTTCGTAATAAAATGGACTTGAATACTACTCTAAATACATTTTAAAATGCGTATCTAGTATCTTGAATATTTTCGTTGAGTATTTGACACAACACTGGATTGAACTCACGGAGTCGCTGTCTGATTTACGAGAATTCACTGAATCCGGCGAAGATCTTGAGTGCATATACGTACCCGAGACCCAAAATAAAGGTTCTTAAACGCTCCCTAAAAAAAAAAAAAAAAGAATGTGACAGTACATTAGTTTTGTTCAAGGTTTTGTCCACGTACCGATATAGAGCGAACAAGAGACCCTCTAAAAGAACGCAGGGCTTTGTGAGTTAGAAGAGTGTGTTCCTACCAATATGAGTAGATACTGAGGGAGAGGGGGAGAAGAGAACGGGCGGCGGCGACACAGCGCCCAACTCTGACTGGATTGATTAGAGGGTAGACGCGAAGGTAACTGCATGGTAAACGCCGAACGCCAGCGTTTGGAGAGGAGGGTGGCTCCTCTCCAGCGCTCGCTGGGCTAAAGTTGAGAGAGGGGGAGGGGCGGAGTTTCCACTTCACCTGCCACCGACTATAACTTCCGATTTGTAAGGCATCTGAAGAAACTGCGCGTTTTCAAGTGAGCCATAATATACATTACACGCTACTTAGATCAGTGACAAAACTGCACCTGTAGGAAACGAAGTCATAGTAGGGCTGTCTAAGGGGAAAAAATATCTCCGACGTTTTCAGACATTTTTTTATGGTCTCATAAAAATGCTTACCTCTACGAACAAGGTGGGGTGGTGTTGTGCTAGTTGGTGATGCATAACTTAATGAGTGTGTGTTTTTTTTTTTACGCAAGGTATCCACCGCTACCATCTCGTGAGTATTGCATAAATATAATATAATTATGACTCTAGTGTTATTTATGAGCTCTGGTGAGCTTAATTCTAGAAATAAACTGTTGAATAAAATTATGTCAATGTCTTCTGAAACTCAGGCCGACAGAGCTAGAATGCCTTCATTTCAAATACGGCTGAAATGTACCATTGAAAAGGGCGTCATGTTCGCCGGCGTAATAGGTATGTAAATGTCGCAACTACTATAAAAAACAGCAATCGAGTATTGACCAATGCTCTAACATTGTAATAGCTGTTAACAGGTTTAAAGGGAAGCTGAAGCACTTTTGAAAAAAACAAATATAGTTATGAGCGCACTTTTATAGCTTCTTATCCCGTGAGTTCAGTTATCGCATTTATATTGGGCAAAGTGTAAACGTAAACCGCATTTATCGTGTAAAATACGTGCAGCGATTGTAGCCGGGCGTGCAGCGACTGTAGCCGGGCATGCAGCGATCTTCTCTGCCACCTGTTCTCTGTCCAAAGCGTCGTAACGTCATTGACGCCATCCCCGCGCCAGCTTAGGCTGTGTTCCAAACCTTACTCGAATGGATCCGATTCATCCCTGCCGATCATCTCACGTGACACGACAAATACAGCAACGCTAGACGTGGGTAGGTATTCGAACGCCAAGGTACCAAACCTCTACCCTACAGAGTGAGATCGAGTCAATCTTGGAACACGGCCTTAGTAGCGAGCAAAGGCCATCTGACCCCACTGATGACGTCACTTTTGCTAGTTTGTATCTCCGCTTTCCCTCGTCGCGCCGCAACGGGCGGGTCCACGTCGAAATTTTAACTGGCTATTTCTACTCTCCTACTAATATGACCGAAGCATAACTTAAGAAGCATTATTTCTAAGCTCTCTAGATCACCGCTTTTACTGTTTGTCCGAATTCCAAGTGCCTCTTCAGTTTCCCTTTAAAGAGTTACTTAATTTTTTTTTTTTTTCAGTGTGCGACGCAAAAGCAATATTCGAGGTGGTTAAAAGATGACGATGCAACGAAGTTTGAAAAGAAGACAACCGATAAAAGTGATAAGAGGGCGACCGGAACGCTCAGCATTACCCTCGCCTTCTTACCATTGCCATAGTTTATTTTTCTGCGAGTGGTTCTAACGATTTATAAATAACACTTTACGCAGACACCTATGTGTAAAGAAATTAGACTCTTTCGCACACATACTAGGTGTAATAAGTCGATCGATAGCAGCCGTTATTTATAAAATAATGTAAGGGGAAACGTGTCATATCCTTACGCTTAGCAAGCGGAACATCTTTTAGAGTGTGCCCACTAATCATGCCTACCAGAGCTCGGTGTTTACCAGCGTGGTCTCGTCTTCGCCTCACTCACAGTTTCTACACCCGCCTAGCTCTCGATTCAAGACTGTTTTAGGTGAGACTTAAGTTGCCTAAACTTCGTATGAGAATAAAAAGAAAAGCGGCCGCTACAAGCGCGGGCGCGCTGACTTCAGCAGGGCTCGCCTTGAAACCGTTCTTGAGGACAGTAGGAATACTGAAGGTGTAGCTACGATTTCACTTCCGCTTACGGGAAAATGAAGCTTGCTGACTTGGCGCCATCACTGAGGGGATTGCAGTCGGGTGTACGCTAAGAAAGATGTCGCCATGTTTATATCTGTTCAAAGCACAGACGCCTGCGATCCCGGCTGTTAACATTCATCCGACAGCCAGTGGGAGGGTGGGCTGTTCGTCGAACCGCAGGCCTGCACTAGGGGTGCAGAGCACCTTCGGGCATCTCCCAGTAGAGAACTTTGTTCCGGAATGTAACCGAATCATCGATTGCTCATAATGGTCGCACAGTATCGCTTTAAGAACCACAAATATAGTGGCAATGTGGGTTCCAATTCTTTACCTCAAATCGCGTAATTAGCCTTTTTTTTTTTAGAGGCGAGAGTGGTATTAAACTATGCTGTATTGTTTTTATTGATCTGCTTTTTACATCACGTATAGAATGAAAATATATTATGATTTAATTCTTATACTTTTTTGCTCAAAATTCGCTAAATAAATTATTTTTCGAAGACTTGAGTAAGCAGTTGAGCGAAATGTTTTTTTTTTTATTGCTGTGTTATTTTAATTTTCGTGTGAAAGTATTCCGACCTTGTGGGAGAGCTGAAGATCAATACATTTTACCCAAAAACTTGTCATAATATGAATTGCAGCATAGAGACGCCTGATTATAGTCGAGGCACAATCAGTGCTATGAGTTACTAGGTCAGCCTATCGAGATCATTATTTGATATATTCCTTCATGACTTGCCAATTGATGCGATTAATTCGGGATTGCATAGCGCCATGAAAACAAAAAGAAAAAAAAATCGCACAATGGCTGACCACACAAATTCTGCTCTGCAATGGCACTCTACAAAACCAACGCAGCTTTGAGGCTCCAGTTCGTCCCGTGTTGTCAAAATCTCTTTAAAGTGCCAAGAACCCTGGGAGGGGTATCCTGTTCCCGGGATTACACGCGGTTGCGACGTCACTTCAAAAGGACTTCCATTTTATCTAGTCTAAAGGAGTCGAAATCTAACACGTCTAGCGATAAAGGCTGCGTTTGCCTTTCGCGGTGAGCCTTTACCAGAACTCCGCCGACGTTCCAAGATGCGGTCGGCAGGTCTGGTTGCCGTACTGCTTCTGTCTTTGGCGTCGAGTCCCACAACCTGCCGTGAGATTGATCCCGAACTGCGAACCTTTGTGAGCACGCTAGAGCGCTACTCTACAACGAAGAACGACGTCATTTTTCTTCTTGAGTCTGGAAACATCGAGGCCGACCATTTTTCCGATGCACTCTTCTTCACCGAGACGCTAGCTCGGCTGTTCATCGTGTCTCCGGAGTACTCGAGGCTAACCGTCATGACGTCCTCCGACCAAAACTTGGTTCACATCGACCAAGTGAGAAACATTGATGACGCTAACATGTGCACTTTTGCACATGATGTGAAATGGATACAGCATCGCTCAGGTAACACCAAGACCCGGGAAGCGTTGGAACATGCGACGACTATTCTGAGAGACGCTAGACATGGTGTCAACAAGTGAGTCTAAGGCTGTGCTATCCACGGTGGTTATCCTGATTGCTTAGGGCTTGTTTTAACTAAAACAAGAACGTTATTCAAAAAGCAAAAGTAAATATTCCTTATCAAATAACGACAGAGATGCCCACAGGCTGTTATAGTGATCAAAATCTATGGTTCTTCGGGGAACTTTCAGGTTATGCTATTGCGGAATAAGGAGCCAATGAAAACTCACATTTTGCGCCCGTTGTGTTTTATGGTATTCACGGTATAATGTGTTAATATTTGGCACATTACACCAAATCGATGTTTTCCGGTATATTTTTTTCTTGTTCTACTTTTTGGTGTCTTGAAACAAATCTATTTCGTGAATGAACTTCCGTAGGAAGCATTTAAACATACGAAGCTCAGAAGGCGACTCACGCCAGTCTGAACCGTTATGTAAGGTGCACTATCAGAGAAAAAAAAAATAATAATATATATATATATATATATATATATATATATATATATATATATATATATATATATATATATATTGCATTGCTCGGCAAACTACACTTTAATGATATAAAATATCTCAGAATGAGAAATGTTTTGTAAAAAAGAGCTGATAATTTCAAAATACCTCTTATACACTACACCCTAAGAAATTCCTGCGCGCCTACTCACGCGCCCAACACTTGAAGAGCCAATTTCTGCGATCTACGAAATCAGCTCAGCGAATTATGAGGCGGAACATCTGTTTAGACCTCAAAATTAAGTCTGCGCTGTGGCATTACGCAATGCAGGCATGACGTTTTGCTTTGCGTAATGCCACAGCGAAGTTTTAATTTTCAGGTCTAAACTGATGTTCCACCTCATCATTCCCAAAGTTGATTTCGTAGAACGCAGATATTGGCTCTATGAGTGTTTTGCGGGTAAGCACACGCGCACGAATTACTTAGAGTGTAGTAACACTTGCATTATTTACTGCAGTCACGCCTAAGCGCACTTACGACGCTAACTCTTACAACTTCTCGTGGCTATGCAGTAAAAGGTATGGTCGCTCGTGCACAGCCGCATCTTGAGTGCCCAAGAAAGCTAAGCACATGCACTCTCCATTTCTAAAATAGCTGTTCGTGAGCTTAGTTATGCAAAACCGCAGTCACGGGTGACTTAACCGCGGTTAAGGGTGCCCGAGTAATTAGGGCATTATGGTGTTTACTATTGATTCGGTGGTCTTGAGGTTAGTCCCCAGATTCCGAAAAAGCATTGTCTATAAGTTACAATTAATAACAATTTAGATCATTTTTAGATGCACCATAACAATAAAACATGCGCGCACATATCAAAATGGCCATCCTTGAATTGCACGCAGTCCTAAGGACATGTGTTTATTTAAAACATGTGCTGACAAGCGCTGTCTTTTTTTTTTTTTTGTCCGTTCTGCCTGACCTTTATGAGATGGACTCAGTGTACCTATATGGCATCTTAAAAAAAGGAGGTAAACACTTGCGATATTATCAAACGTAATTTTTGGAAACTGACGTTGCACATCAAAGCCCAGTAGAAATCAAAAGTGTAACACGAATTACAAAGTTTTACGTTAAAATTATAATGCAATTAAATGCAAAGCTGCAAGCGAGCTGGACAAGACTAACGAAAATAATCCCTGGGGAAGGGCAACAAGAGGGACAAGAGACAAACACAAATATCCAAACACAACTGGTGTTTGGTGAGCGACCGAAAACATCCGCCTGGTCCGGGTATCGAACCCGGGACCTCTCCTTTACAGGTGGAGCGCTCTACCAAGTGAGCTAACCAGGGGTTAGACGTCAGTAGAGCAAACGGGTTTTATCAGCCGCGTCCAGTCTAACACCAACAAGGGTGAAGCTTGCAGTTTTAAGGTTATAATTATAATGCAATTAAATGCAAAGTTGCATTTAGTTGGAGATTTGTGTTTGTCCTTTGTCCCTCTTGTTCCCCTTCTCCAGGGATTAATTTCGTCAGAGTTTTACGGTTCTCTGTAATGCGAAAGTAGAGCGCAGCTCATGAGGTATTTTGATTTTGCGATATGCCCTGGTTGCGAATTTGAAATAAATACATAAATAAATAAATAGGTAAATATATATATATATATATATATATCAGTGTGTCGAACCGAAAAAAATACGGGTTCGATTACGGTTCAGGTTCAGGTAAATTTATTTTGTTCCGGTTCAGTTCCGGTTCGATTAATTCGATCCGCGAACCGGTTCGCGAACCGGTTCGGAAATTATAAATGACAAATTGCAACATCAAAATAAATTACAAATAAAACATCTGAAATCAGCACATACGAAACGGGATACATCGTAGTGTAAGGCTCAGGGATTTCTACCAGGAATGGTTTCTTTATGTGCACTCAAAGGTTACCTCACCGACGTTTACGCATTCGGACTTCATCTAATTGGGTCCGACGCAGTAGCTGTAAAATCCGTGACCTCCTTACAAACCCACTTACAAGTAGAACTCGCTAACTATCCCGCCACCTCGGCGTGTAAGCAATTGAAGGAACAGTGGGGAGAAAATACAGCTTTCTTTATTTGAACTAGCCTTAGGTGACTCAAATTAGACCCTTAAAGAAGTATTCATTAAACAAGATACGGAATATGAAAAACACTTCACTGAACGCAACGCCAGAAGGACGTAATAGGATAAATATTAAAATAGAAGAGTTCGCTGTCTCACAAATATGTTAGCTTCTAAGTGCCTATACGAAACCGGATGCATTATTATCAAACTCCACAGCCTTTTCTTTTCTCTTTCCGATGGAAGCAAGCTTCAAGAACTCGCGCGTTCTAGAAACGTGTTATGAAATGAGAACACAGCAGCATTTAGGATTTACGAGATTGTAAAAAAATAAAATCCGGTGACGCGATTTTTTTTTTTCTTTTGCACAGCTTTTTAATTCTTTTTCTTCCGTGCAAGCCGCGACCAGTGCAATACTGGTTCCTATGTCAAGATTCATAGATGCAGCGTTTGTCAAGATTCATGGATGCAGCGTTTATATTCCTAAGACTGAGTGGAGAAGAAAAATATGTAAGCGAGGTGTGTGTCAGTCACTCAGTTGACGGCACCTAAAAACAAATGGCATTGATAGCACATTCATTGTCAACAGCGCGTGGCCGAACCGTTTTGACATGAGCCGGTAACCGTTATTTTTTTCCCGGTACAGTTCCGGTTCGGGTTTATCGCGATAACAATATAACGGTTCGGGTTCGGGTTCAGTTCCGGAAAAAATACCGGTTCGGTTCCGGTTTTCGGTTCGGTTCGGTTCCGGTTCGACACCCTGATATATATATATATATATATATATATATATATATATATATATATATATATATATATATATATATATATACACACTGCGTGCAGACTGCTTCACCCAAGAGTGACTAAAATTCCTAATATTAGTGCTTTCGAGGAAAACGGACAATTTTTCAAAAAATGGGCGATACTTGGTAATTAGTGCGATAATTAACTAAAATTACTACTTAACATTTTAATTACAGAAAGTAGACATATGGTTCCAATTAGAAACTTACTGAGCGTCATCAAAAACACCTAAATGAGTCATTATCCCTAAGACTTTCAGCGCGTGAGAAGCGTAGTAGTACAATAAAGTTACCACTCGTGTAACAGGTGCAAGGCTAGCAGTTGCGGGAAGGCACCCGCGCGATTTTTCCGTCAAGGGACAGATGAGCGGCAAAAACTGGCGCTGCATGCGCGCTGATTTCCATAGCAACAGCCCAGGACGCTGTGACGTGAACCTATGCCCAGCCGCCACGTCACGGCGTGCGCCCAAGTTGGCATGGAAACGGCCGCGCGGCGCCCGTTTTTGTCGCTCATGTGTTCCCTGCTTTACGACAGCCCCAGCCTTGTACCTGCTCCACGAGTGGTAACTTTAAAGGCGCCGTGCAACGATTTTAACGTTGAAAGAATTTGCATCTTCTGCTTTTGATATTGTTCACCTTGTGACTAATGACAGAAAACACACCTCTTTTCATCCAAATGTTGCGATTCCGCCGCGTAATAGCGAGGCAAAACTTAGAATATTCCCCGACCTGCACCCGCGAGCGGCGGCCATGAGAAACACGCGCCATGATATCAGTGAATATCTTGTAGAAAGATAGCAAGTTGTGCGAATACCTGCTCGATGAAAGGTAACTTTTCTATAAATCTTGTCATTTTAACATATATATATATATCAGGGTGTCGAACCGCAACCGAACCGAACCGAAAACCGGAACCGAACCGGTATTTTTTTTCCGAAACTGAACCCGAACCCGAACCGTAATATTGTTATCGCGATGAACCCGAACCGGAACTGAACCGGAAAAAAAAAAATAACGGTTACCGGATCATGTCAAAACGGTTCGGCCACGCGCTGTTGACAATGAATGTGCTATCAATGCCATTTGTTTTTTAGGTGCCGTCAACTGACACACACCTCGCTTACATATTCTTCTTCTCCACTCAGTCTTAGGAATATAAACGCTGCATCCATGAATCTTGACAAACGCTGCATCCATGAATCTTGATATAGGAACCAGTATTGCGCTGGTCGCGGCTTGCACGGAAGAAAAAGAATTGGAAGGCTGTGCAAAAAAAAAAAAAAAAAAATCGCGTCACGGGATTTCATTTTTTTACAATCTCGTAAATCCTAAATGCTTCTGTGTGCTCATTTCATAACACGTTTCTAGAACGCGCGAGTTTTTGAAGCTTGCTTCCATCGGAATGAGAATAGAAAAGGCTGTGGGAGTTTGATAATAATGCATCTGGTTTCGTATAGGCACTTAGAAGCTAACATATTTGTGAGACAGCGAACTCTTCTATTTTAATATTTATCCTATTACGTCCTTCTGGCGTTGCGTTCGGTGAAGTGTTTTTCATATTCCGTATCTTGTTTAATGAAAACTTCTTTAAGGGTCTAATTTGAGTTACCGAAGGCTAGTTCAAATAAAGAAAGCTGTATTTTCTCCCCACTGTTCCTTCAATTGCTTACACGCCGAGGTGGCGGGATAGTTAGCGAGTTCTACTTGTAAGTGGGTTTGTAAGGAGGTCGCGGATTTTACAGCTACTGCGTCGGACTCAATTAGATGAAGTCCGAATGCGTAAATGTCGGTGAGGTAACCTTTGAGTGCGCATAAAGAAACCATTCCTGGTAGAAATCCCTGAGCCTTACACTACGATGTATCCCGTTTCGTATGTGCTGATTTCAGATGTTTTATTTGTAATTTATTTTGATGTTGCAATTTGTCATTTATAATTTCCGAACCGGTTCACGAACCGGTTCAGCGCCCCGAACCGGTTCGCGAACCCGTTTACGGATCGAATTAATTGAACCGGAACTGAACCAGAACAAAATAAATTTACCTGAACCTGAACCGTAATATATATATATATATATATAATATATATATATATATATATATATATATATATATATATATATATATATATATATATAAATGCTTCAAAAACCTGGTATCATCGACAAAACTTTTATTATACGGAGGTTTAGTGGCGCCATCTATCCTAAGTACACAAAACCGTCAGCTCTATCTGCTACCGCGAACAGCCGCCAGAATCCAGAGGGGGAGGGCGACAGGGCCGGGCGGGTATGGCCGGACCTGGATGAGACTTTCCTCCCTTCACCATATTGTTCGCGCGGCGCCCGCCAGCAGGTGGTCACGCGGTCGCGAGCGGATGAGTTCTCGCTGCTCACTGATGGCTCTGAAAAGAGAACTTTTCCGGGACCCCGCGCGTACCCCATCAACGTCACTGCTCACGGGACCCGGAAGACGATGTACGAGTTCAAGCATAAGTAGGCGGCGTTAGTAGTTCACGGCGCATGAAAGGGTTATTATGGGGTTATTATAAAGGGTTACTATTAAGAAATAAAGGCGGACTCTCCTCGTCACTCGCTCGTCGATCGAGTCTACTGTTTGTTTGATCTTATGCTGAAATAAACGCCGTATGGATTACCTCTGCATCGTCTGGTACGTATGCTTTATTTCTTGAGTAGGTCCCCTATATTTCTTTTGGTAGTAGGCAACATTACAGGTAGAGCTAGCGCAGGTACCCTGCCAGGTCCGCGGTAGTGTGTTGACTACGCAATTAGGCTCCCGACGTCTCTATAGGCTTTAGTGATGGTAATTCACAGTGTCAAAAGCTTTCGATAGTTCACGCGACTGTGTTAGTGGGTACAAAAGCCGACACTTTGGTCGAGCAAGAGTGGGTCCCGAAGTTCTATGGGCAAAGACTAACAAGGCAGCGAGCGTCGCGCTGTGGCACCCCAAATAATAAACAAACTCTTATCCGAACCAAATCACCCGAGCGAAGCCCGTTAAGATTACGAGTCAATTCTTTTCGCGGCGGATTCAAGTGACGGACGTGAGCATCACGTTTCTTCGTTGATTTGACTGCTTCAACGCTAGGACTACAGCACCTTGGACGACTCACCAGCGACAGATGCCATCTTGTTTCGAAAGCCACCGACGTCGCGTCAGCGTCGCGTTGCGATTAGTTGCTGCTTCGCGGTTCGCGAACGCGTTTGAGGTAAATCGGTCCCGAAGCGGTCGGCAAAAACGCGCTCCAACCGCTCGATCCTATAGCCGCTTTGCGGTTGAGAACGCGCGTATCCGCTTCGCGTTTGCGGATCCACTTCCAGTGTGAACGCGCCATAAGAGCTCCACTGTGAAATGCGTTGTATTAGTAACACCGACGCTGTTTTCGATGGGAGGGTCTTTACAGTTAATTGTGTTTATGACTTATCTTGATATTCTGTAACACCTATTGATTGATTTATCAAAGTTTCCCCTTCTCTACAATATTGTAGACTATTCTTGTTCTAGATACTTTCGCTCATGTATCACAAAAGATTTGGGCTTTTATCGGCAGCTTCAAGTGAGTCATGTATGGGAAACCGATGCTTCATAATGCACTGTCGGAAATATTCCCAAACAAGCTGAATTACCACTAAAATAGGCAATTTCTTTTTTCAGAATCATAATTTTGATATCGGGTGCATTGTCGAACGGCGGATCTGAAACTTACACTGCTGCACTCTCACTCAAAGATGACGGTGTTATTATTTTCTGTGTTGGAGTCGCCGATGTCAACCAGCAGAAACTGTCGACTTTGGCTACTACAACTTCTCACGCGTATTTCTTCAGTAGCTTCGAATACATCAGAAGTGCCAGCCGCAGTCTTCAAAGAGGCAAGCCAGTTTTGATTATTCCTAATCTTAACAACCACAAAACACGTCATAGTGTCTATATTTGGTATGTAATTACCGGGATCGTCGAAACTCGCTTTTAAGGGTGCCTGCAACGATGTTGGATAGGAATGTTTCCGACTTCACAGAAACCTACCAGCACTTGTGAAACCAGGGTACTTGCAACTTTCACGGCCTATGGGGGCGCGCTCGTTCCAATCAAGATTGCTGTAGTCTGGATGAGCGTCGTAGAACTGCAGTACGAGGTTGGGCCTGCGACGCGTAATTCTAGTTTTGGGAAATACGACCGATATAAGAGCGTTACCTCATTCATCCACGTCAGGAAGGTGTAAATGAGCACCGTCATTTAGAAGCCTTTGGTCCAGGAGGTAGAGTGCGCGGGGGGATCGGTGGCCGAGTGGTCTAGCGCACACCAGCTCGGAGCACGTGGAGCGAAACCTCGCGCTGCAGAACCCAGGGATCTTGGGCTCAATCCCCACACCAGCCCGTTTCGATCTGGAGGAACATCTTACCGGCGTGCGGTCGTGTATCAATACTACGTGGTGCACGTTAATGACCCCAGGCTAGCGGGTATACTGCACTGCTCATCTACAGCGAGTGACTCGCCGCAACTTTAAATGGCTGACCAACTACACGCTGTATAAATATCCCCATAACCCAATTTTTAGATAGTGCGCGATTCTCATGCAACGATACCACCATGGCTCAAACTTGTGAATAATCGCGACCAACACCAATAACCAAGGGCGTCTCATGGTCGCGGTGAAATGCTGTTATTCAAAGCGGCTTTTTTTTTTTCACTCCTTCGGAAAACGTGATGACGTAATCACAAAAATCGCAATGTTGCACCAAATACCGTAGAGGCTAATACAGGAAACTAATACAGGCAAAATGGGAGACGGAAGTAGAAAGCGATCCTGCCGGTATGGAGTGGACAACTCGCCACTTTCCCCGGAAATGAATCAAGTTGGTGTGACCCACTAGACAAATTGATAGTCTATGAAATATTTCCTTTTTTTGATGGAGCATAGGGAGCATAAGTTCGTGATATTGGACCTCTTGGTATTTTGATGACAAAATGCAGTGTGTTGTATAGACCAGTCAGGATTTGCATAGCAATTTTGTACAATTTTAATAATTATTACACTTTTCTGAGCTTGTTGATTTATTTGTTTTATTCCTACCGAAACATGTCTTATTAGATGTCATTGGCTCCAAGTGACCATAATTAGAAATAGGCATCAATTTTTCATAAGATGGACTTGAAATTACTCTAAGTGACTAGAAGTGATTAATAATGATAACTATGTGATTTTTTGTTTGCTTACACTTATGAACGGCTTCAAGTAGCTTCTGTTGGCTATTAGCATCTTCTTTGGCCAGATTGAGCTTAAATGGCTGCCAATGGCGATTGATGAGATAATTCACAATTATCTATTTCGGTATTGGTGAATGCATATGACTTCAACTGGCTATTATTGGCTATCAGCCTCCGCTTTTATATATATTTGCTAGATATGGGGCTACAAATATCAATAATCAGTACTGAAAATTGAGCTATTTCTGTTTATAAACTGGAATGACTTCTGGTGGCTATTGTTGGCTATTAGAATATATTTCTGACCAGATTGGCTCAATGGCTACTAATGGCTGTTAGTCAGTATAACAGCAATTATCTGCTGTCTGAGTGTTTATGAATGAGAATGGCTTCAAGTGGCTATTATTGGCTATAAGCACTTATTTTTGAATATATTGGCAGCAAATGCCTACAAACTGCTATTAGTAGATAAATATTGCTTGAGCTATTTTTATATTCACGAAATGGAATGGCTTCAAGTGGATAATGTTGGCCATTTGTGTTTATTTTTTACCAAATTAAATCGAAATGGCCCCACACTATCAAATAACTCGAAATAGTAAATAAAAGTCATGCATAGTCACAAGAAGTTATTCGGATCCCAACCCTACCATGTAATTAAGAAATATCAAATAGTCAATATTAGTTATTGAAGCCAACTTAGTCTTCACACCATCAAATAACTCAAAATAGTGACCAATAGTCATTAAAAGTAACTAGAAGTCATTTGAATACATATCTGCCATTTCAAATTTTGATAAAAAAGCCAAAATTAGCCATTGAAAGCCAACTCAGTCCGCGCGCAATCAAATAACTCAAAATAGTTACAAATAGTCATTGATAGTCATTAAAAGTCATTTTTAATCGAAATCCGCCATATAATCAGGAAATGAAATCAAATAGCAAATAATGTCATTCAGATTCAATCTGAGACATAACCTCACAAGTATCACGAAATGATCACTAATGGTCATTAAAGTCTATCACAAGCGGAACTACCTAATAAACAGTTGCTTGATCTATATGCCCCGAAATAGCTTAGTATATTGTCCCAGAGCCATCAATAGCCCTTGAAAAGCAATCTAGTTTATACTCGTCCAAAAAACTCAGAAGTACAATCCAATAGTCATTGCAGTCATTATAGACTAACCAGGCCCCCAAAACGACAGGTAATACTGAACCGGACACTATTTCTACTTCCTTATACATATGGCTCTTCGTTAAACAGCCAGTGTACCATTTACTGGCTGTAATTACTACGTCGTGTTGCATTTCCAGCCTCATCAGAAGTGAGTCTCAATATAATTAAAAATAATGACCCATGGAGCGATTACATATTTGAATCGCTGTGCTTTATTTCTAACTGCAAAGAGCCAGTCACTACAGCTAGTAACAGCCATTGCCTTTAGAGGGGTGCATAAACTGTGAACTTACTAGAAAGTGACTAATTGCCAGTAGGTCATTTGTACCAGGTGTAATACATAGGTCCATATAATCTAAATACTTACTACTAATATGAAGCGCACCTCATTATTAGAAATACCGTGTATCAGCTCTTGCTCAATTGAAATCGGCACACGTATTTGCCATATATTCACCATTCCTGATAATGTGAAAAGAAAAAAATAGTGTAGTGAATGACTGCTATCCTTTTAATTTCGAGCTCATAGTTTACCATCCCACACCGAGAGATGGCAGCACTTCTGTGTATCCCGACAACCCCATGTATTTTGGCTCCAGTATTGGTAGTCAATGGTATTTGGTTCCACTATGGTTTCGGTATTCAAATGCCGCTCATAAACTGGAAAGGAGTACTGCGTAAGCCCTCATTTTCGGATCGCGAAAATGCGTCGACGAGAGTTCGGATAAGGGCTCGCGTCCACTAGATACGCCTAGATAAGCGGCGTTTGGCAACTTCCGGATCCTTAGGAAATTTAGTTTCGCTGTTGACAAACGACGACAATGAGCAGCAAGCCTGTCTAAGCATGGTTCTGAAAACTCGAGTCTGGAGGGTCTGAGAATTATGCTTGCACAGGCTTGCAGCTCATTGTCGTTGCTTGTCAACAGTGAAACAAAAGTTCCTAAGGAACCGGAAGTTGCCAAATGCTGCTCACTTAGTGCTGCAATGACAGACTTAGCCGGACGCTAACTAACACTGTCCTAAACTCGGCGCTTTGCCTGTTCTTTGCCAACCTCAGCGCGTTACCATGATGAACATTGGCGGCATATAATTTGCACTAGATAACGTGGCTGCTCCTCCTGAATGTGAGTTGAGGAGGTGAACGCTACTCGCTTTTCTCCACTTTTAATACGAGGCATTAACTGTCCCATGAAGCGAACCGGCGCGAACCGGCGCGAACCGGCCAAGTGAAACGGCACCTAAGGTTCCATTGGCTACGACGCGTCAAAGTTCCAAGGAACACCCCCCCCCCCCCTTACATACACACACGCAGAGAAGCCCTCTCCTGGCGCCAAAAACCGCGGGCGCCGCTCTCTTTTTTTTTTCTTACTTTTTTTTTTTTTTGGGGGGGGGGGGGGGGAGGAGGTGGGTCACGTGCCAGGCATGGCCAGAGGCCCGGAGGTGGAGAGGGGGAGATAAAAATACCCTCTCCCTCTTCAAGTGCACAACTGTATCACGTGTTCTACGCTATGCTTTCAGCCATGTCGCTTCGCCCGGCCGGCCTCTGCGGAGGACACCGTGGCGCGCTGTCTATAGGAATGCTTTCGCATTCCTACACCTAAGCAGTCGCAAATGTCCTCCTGCAATTTTTTTCTCTGGGACTGCCATTGCGTTCAGTGAATCACTGACACGTATATGGTAGGCAGAGTTCTAGACCTTACGAAAGCACGCTTTATTAGGCGGTAGCAATGTACGTCGCACGTTACTTTAAAATGAAAAGGACGCGTCGCCGACTTACATTACCTCAAGATAAAAGGAACCGGTTACCATTACCGATAAAAAGTGGCGCACGCTACTTTTGCGTTACTGTTGGGACGGGGTCCGGTCATTATATTCGTCGAGAGATTAAGAGTGGACCTCAGATAGCGTCGATCCAGCCTACCTGCCATTGACGGCGACTGCCTTTTAGGTCAGTGGGACAAAGGGCGTGGGCGTTGGGGCTCATTAGAGTGGGGTTGTTTGTGTGGGGAAAAAAGAGGTTAACGTTTGAAGGCATGTGGGATGAGTGCAAGAATTCCGAAGACTTGGCACTTAGATGCACCAAAAGATATTCCAGTGTATTTCTCTAAAGTCAGAAGTTTGAAGTATGTAGAGGACGCCACGAGTACGTCTTCTTCCGAGCGACGCCTGAGCACTTCATTATCGCCCCACAGACAATAAGGTTGCATCATTACCCGACAAGATCTCCGAATGAAGAATAACGAAGCAATAAGCATGAACATAACAAAACAAGCTACGCGTTTCATAAACTCTTACCCACCACACTTGCCTCACTTCTCCAGACGTCCTGGCTAAACACTGGGACAAGGCGACCTCTCCCAATGCCTGTGACAGAGAATGCGACGACAACGCCATATGTGCGTGCGGCGCCCGAAGTGGTATCTACCAGTGCGTCTGCAATTACGGTTACAAGGGGCTAGGCACTCCCGGCGAGTGCCAGCGTAAGTTTACACTTGAACGCCACTAGTTCACAGTTTTTGTGCTGAGTGCATGTGCTTGCTGTTCCTGAAGTCACTCGATTCAGGGAAAGTACGGCCATTGCATTT